GGTCCATGGCTTCTCGGAGTAACAAGATTTGGGTTAACCTAATTGCAGCAAAATATATGAGAGGGAAGTTTTTTCTTCACTCTGATCTCTCTTTTTCTGGTTGTTCATGGCTCTGGTCTGATATTAAAAAAACTAGGGATCTTATTACAAAAGGTGCTTGCTTCTCTATTTGTTCTAATTCAGATGTTTTAACTTGGAAAGACCCGTGGATTCCCTCATTGGATGGCTTTACCCCCACATCTCCTTCTCCGAACTCAAATTCTTACCTCATTGCTCTTGTCAGAAACTTTATTATTGAAGAGACTAGCACATGGAATTTCAATCTTCTAACCACTTACTTCCCTGTAAATGTGGTAAATGAGATATTGAAAGTCCAAATCTCTCCTCTGGCTTTGCCTAATGCACTCTTTTGGTCTCCCTCCAAGTCAGGGAAGTTCACGTCCAAGAGTGCTTATCTCTCCGATCAAGCTAACCGTTTTAATTCCTCCCCGTCAAATTACCCTCCTCTTAACTGGAAGAATCTCTGGTCTTCTAAATTACACAACAGACACAAGCTTCTTTTTTGGAAAATTGCAAATGACCTTATCCCTACAAAAGCCAGATTGAGTCGTCTTTTCCCCTCAAATGACACTGGTTGTTTTTTTTGCAGTTCTCATCTTGAAGATATTGATCATTTGTTCTTGTCTTGCCCTTTCATCCAACAAATCTGGTTCATCTCTAAATGGAACATTCGTATTGATCCTTTTAGAAATGAACCGATTAATGCCTGGATTGATCTTATTCTGGATAAAAAGAACAATTTTCTTCCTTCCCTTGCTGATAGAGAAGAATTTATTATTTTTACTGCTGTGTTGTTTGATTTACTGTGGATGAATAGAAATAAAGTGGCTCATGGTTCACCCTCACTTTCTCTGCAGGAACTTCTACACACGGTATCTAAAAGTGCAAAGGAGCACTGGAATTGTCAAAGCCTCAAATCATTAAAAGCTGGGAAAGAATTGAATCAAGCCTGGACCATACCACCTCCTGACTGGATTAAGGTCAATACCGACACCACCTTCAGTAAAGGCAATGCTATGGCAAGCTGTATTTTCAGGAATTCCAATGGCTCTATTTTCAATGCATTCACTAAATCTCATGCATGCATGGACTCTTTGGTGGCTGAATGTTTAGCTATTTTGGATGCATGCAAGCTTTTAAATTTTGCAAAAATCAGCAATGCTATCATTGAAACTGACTGTATTAATGCGGTTAAGCTTATTATGGATAAAGATCTCCCTCCTCAATGGACTGCATCTGTGCCAATTGAAGAAATCAAACGCTTCTGGAATCTTTGGCCCACATGGATTTTTAAATTCATCCCTAGAATGGGGAACGAGGCAGCCCATAATTTGGGGAAATGGGCTTCCAGCACTTGTTTTGAAGGGCATGTTGCCCCTAATGTAATTCCTCTTTCTTGTTTTGTTGATATGGGTCACCCTATTCTGGACTCATGTAATTTTAACTTTTATTAATTGTGTTTTTTTCTATCAAAAAAAAAAAAAAAAAAAAAAAGAAAACCCCCTAGAATATTCATTTCCAATCTTACCCCTCTAGTACCTATCACGTTTTTTTTTATAATTATCCAATAATTTCGAAATCCCTATTAATGAGGCACTTAATCCCGCTAATTAGGCTTAATTATATACTTTTCCTAATAAAACTGCTCCTAGTATAATTTATCTCAATTATTCCTTTTTTCTCTCTCTCCATAACAACAATTTAATTCCTAAAAATCTGCTTCCAAATTCCTAAAAAATTGCTGCGAAATAAAAAAAAAAAAATATATATATATATATATATATATATATATCGGATTTTATTATTTTTATTTTTTATTTTTATATTATTTTCGGACTTTATTTAGTAATTTTTAATTTATTTTTATTTTTAATATTTTTTAATAAAAATATTATTTTAAATTTTTTTTAAAACTTTTTTTAAACAAAAAATTGAAATTTTTTTCTCAACAGGTTTGCAACGCCGAATATGACTATGGTTGAATATGACTATATGTGTAGTCATATTATTTCTTTATATTGTTGTTTTTTACATTTGGAACTTAAAAGTTCCGATTATATGGCATAGTCATGTTAACCAAATCATATAAATAACCAAAACATATAAAACAAAGAAGATTCCCTATTATTTACGAAAACAATGCAATCAACATCCACACAAAAAATCACAATTTGAATCTTGTTATTAGAAGTCAACTTGAAAACGAGAAGATAGAACATATTCAACAATATTCGTATTCGAATATGACTACACTCATATTCAAAAAATACATAAATATGACTATAGTCATATTTGAATATCACTATAGTCTTGTTACTACTGCTGTTCAGATCTGAAAAAAAAAATCGAAAAACATAAATAAAGATAGAAAAATAACGAGAGAGAGGGACGGGAGTCGACGAGGTCTTCATACACAAAATC